ATTTTAGCAAAATGCTACAAAAAATTGATTTGGATTTAAGGGAGATTATGAATAGAGCAAAGGATATTGTTGAAATATTAACAAATATCAGAGAGAATGTGGATGAAAAGTTTCATGAAATATATGAAAAAGTAAAGGAGATTGCTAATATGTTTGGAATTGAAATTTTTAAACATAGAGTAGTCTCTAGATAATCCAATCGATCAAATATTGATGCATCTACGATTGAGGATTTTTATAAAATAAACATTTTTATTCCCCTTATTGATACATTTTTATTTCAATTAGAATTTATTAGTCATAATTATATTTTAAAAAGATTTTATTTTCTTTTACCGGTTGAGTCTAAACTGTTGATTACAATTGAAACATGAAAGGATATTTAAAAAAATCTCAGAGTTTTATGCTGATGATTTAGTAGGTTCATATGATAAGTTACTTTGTGATGTCGAATTTCGGTATAAAAATCTTAACAGAATAGGGTATTCTTTAGATCAAAAAAATGCTCTGCAGGCCCTTTCCATGTGTAATTGCATTTTAGATTCCCTGCCTACTATCAAAACATTATTAATTATTTTAGCTACCTAGCCAAAAGGTCTTTTTCAACTTTAAAAAGGTTAAAAACCTATTTAAGAAACACAACCGGTGAAAAACGTTTAAATGGATTAGCACTATTGAAAATTTATAAGGAGATTATTTTAGGTAAAAATTTGATTCTAGATGAATTAGCAAAATCTCAGAGAAAAGTAGATCTCTCTTTTTAAATTCAAATCAAAAAATAGCAATAAAATTTTATTTAATATATAATCAATTTTTTTTTGTAAAAAAATTATTATTTATAAGATAATATCATCATATTTTTTTAAATACCATTATTTGCATAAGAATTACACATATTTTATATAATTGTAAAAAATTACTTTTTTTTAAATAGAGTCTTTATAAATTATAATTTTTAATATTAAAATCTGTATTATATAAAATAGCAACATTTTGAAAATATTTTAATTAATAAAAATATATACATGATTATTTAAAGGAATGTAAAATACATAATAAAATACCCTAAAATTTTGTTATATGAAAATATAAAACAATTTTAACAAATCCAAAAATATAAGCAATGAAGTGTTCAAAAAAAATGGGAGGTATGGGGGGCTTAAACCCCCCCCCCCCCATGATACAATCCTGGCTACGCCACCGCATGCTAGAATACATTTTTGGTTATAATCGAACTTAAAAATTTAAAAGATATTTTTTAAATGGATCTAGATACAGATACAACGTCTAAAATAATATCTAGATACAGATTATTTAATCAAAAATCTATCTAGATACAGATACAGATACCACATTTTTATATCTAGATACAGGATCTAGATACTTGTATCTAGATTCTTTAACAACTCTGCTTATTAAAGTTTCTTATCGTTTACCAACAGTTCTTATATTATCTACTACTTCAAGCTATCCTCCAATCGTGAGCTTAATTTTGTTATTTTTTTTTATGAAAAATAAATTATGAAATTTGTTAAAATACAATAAAAAATATAGTGTAAGGTTGGGTGGGCAAACACCGTCAGCAGTGTTTTGTATTTTGACTTTAAATTCATGTCACGTGATCTAAATACTCATCTCTATTGATCTCCCAATAATTAACGCCATTTTAAGCCCAAAAATCTAAGTCTGATTTAAAGCAATTAATTATGAACGATACATAAGATAATAGATATTCTTGAGGAAAAATATTCTAATGATTTACAATTTTTTTCTATCTTAAATGAAACCTTTATAAAATTATTTAATGCAAAATAATCTATCATGAATATATTGGGAAAAAAAAATATATTCCCACTCTGGCTGAAAACTACATTTTGATATTTTTTGTTCCAATTTTATTCTCAATAAATTATAAACTTAATTATATTCGTTGATTATAATTAGTAATTTTTTTTTCACTATTTAATAAAAAAAATGGTTTTTTTAAAAAAAAATGGTTTTTTAAAAAAAAATTATTCACATAGGCTAACACCGCCCCCCCCCCTTCCATGCTACTAACGAGTTTTTATTGATCAACGAATGTTTTGATTAAAAATTATATTTTTTAAAAAAAAGAGAATCTTTATTGGTTAATGAAGACACGATTTTTTGAGAGATGATAGCTGGCATATAGATAAACCCATTTATTCCAAAAAAACAATTTGAAAAAAATGTCACTTACGAGATCTTGCAATGGTGACGAAAAATTATATGAATATAGTATTTCATATATAAAAAACATTAAAAGAGAACTTTAAAAGTAACATGTTACCATAGAGAAGAGTGAATGCTTAGGAAATTAGATCGCGCTGGAGATGGTGGAATCTTTCTTTGGGGTCACCTGCCAGCTGTCTCCTTTTTGCAAATAAGTCTTACATATTTGTGAGCCTCCTTTCTAAATATCACTAAGGTGTTAGTAACTATTGATTCTGTCTCTGAGTCTAACATATTTATTTATTTATGGACTTCTACCTATTTGATGGCAGAAAATGAGAGGTCAGTCTTTACTGCAAAATCAATGTAAATGTAGTCATTGATCAGTGGGAAACCAATCATCCACGGGATAAAGGTTATACCAATCCAAGGCGTTTTCATTTGAAAGAATCGAGGGTTCAAGAATGAATGAATTGTGTTATTTTATTTTATTTTTTAAATAAAATATAATAATTTTTTTTGTTTTCTTTGGTTTAATATTTTTTCTTATCAGCCTATAGGCCTTTAAATAATAATCTTGTATTACTATTATACCAACAAGTACTTGAAGTTTCCCACAAACGTGTAAAGGTCTCCTCATATAAATATAATCCAGTTTGATGGAAATGTGGAATACCTATTAACGCTTAAACATTTTTTTTTAAAGTTATAAAATTCTGATTTAGTTAAAATTTTAACATTTCCAAAATGAGATAAAGTCATTTTTTTTTATATTATAGCTTTACACTTACAGTTGTATTTTAATATCATAATAATAAATAATCAACTTCTGTAAGATTTACATATGTAAAAGCTTCTTTTGATCAAATGTTAAACTCTATTTCCATCATCTAGAGTTGCCAGAATGTATATCTTAATAAGAAAAAATATTTACTAATAAGTTGAGCATTAAGAATTCATACAAATGTTGCAAAATACACAAAAGTTGAGATTTTCAATTTTAATAATTACTTACAATTTATTTTATTTTTTAAACATCAACTCTTATATATTCTCCCTAAAACGTAAAACATTAGTAAAGAATTTTCTTTGCTAAGGAAGTTCTTCATACTACACTTACATATCGGGATACTCATTTATTTAAAAATATATTAGGTATCACAACAAACATCCTTGAACTAAAGCATTGTTAAATTTAAGATATTACAATCACTATTCTATTGATCGATTGATTTATCATTTATAAAATACGTATAAATAAACCATGGCGCCTAAAAAATGTAAATATCCAATCTTCATTTTAAAAACAAAAATAATATGGTACAATAAATCAAAAAATATCCGTATTATTTTGGTAATAATTATATAATACTAAAAAAATTATAAAAAATTTGTTTAAAATCTTTAAAAAAATTTTAAAATTATATTTATAGAAACAATCAATTTCTAAAGAGAGGAGGGGTTTTCCTCCTTTCTTATTTACAACAACGATAAGAAATAGCAATATATATACAAATCAAAGTATTTTTTTAACTTTGTTTTCAGAAAAATGATGTGATTTTGAATTAGTTCTTTGTAAGCCAGGCAAAAAAAATAATGAGCCGGGCCGGAAAACTGAAAAATAATGAGAATAAACACAACAATTAATTTTATTCATTATATTAATAATCAATCCTATTCCTAATGAAATAAAAAATATTATATATTTATAATTAAAAAAAATTATAAATTATAAAAATTGTTATATTTCATAATTTAATATTTATTTAATATTAGGTATAATAAAAATTTATGATTATTTTTATTATATAAATTTTTATTTATTTAATTTAGACTTATAGAATAAATTATTTACATTTTCCGGCCAGCCGACAAGTCAATCGGTTCAGCAATTTCGGCCTGGGGTCGTAGTTCGTTCTGAATTTGGAGCCAATTTCTACAAGCTCGACTCGAATTCAGGGTCGAAAAAAATTTAATATTTAAAAACATTACTACTTAATTTATTTATAAATTAATAGTGTGTGGTTTATTTCACATAGTGTCTATTTGCAATATATAAGTTAGTACTCTTGGATTAGATAGTTATTTAAGAAGATGCTATGTGTTGAAAAGGGGGAAAAGGCACTATATGACTAGATAATTCATTCCTTTTTTCAATATATAGAAGTTTTATTAAGTGGTTAAAATAAAAAATACAATTTTAATGAAGAAACATTATGCCAAAAGAATCTACCATATTATAAAATTTAATTGCACTGACGATTTAAAAATATAAAATTTAATTTCCCAGAAAAATAAATTTATATATCTCTCATTTTTATATTATATGACTTCGCTAATGACCCTAATCGCACCTATATCATATGCTACTTGTGGATGTTGTTTTTACTAGTGTTTATTGGATAAAATGAGCATATTTTTTTATTTACGCTAGAAATTTTGACAATAATTTATTATTATAATCAAGTAAAAATTACTATTCCACATCCTTAAATAACCTATATTTCTTTATAATTATACCTAGTTACAAGCATTGTCGTCACATTCCAAATAATAAAACGACTTTTGAATCCCCTCAGAAATTATATATTCAATTTGACTTTGTAAGTCTATTAATAAATTAGAATGAATATTTTAAATTATTTTCTCAATACTATCTTCTGCATTTAGATTCTATGTTTAAAAAATAATAATATTTATAGATAAGAAAAATATTATTTATTCATGGGTTATGCCTATCTAATTAATACTTTTTTATAAATTGAATGAAATTTTTTTTTTAATATTTGAGTAATAATTTAGTGGAGCATTATGAAATGACAAAACATGTGTTTTTAGCCTTGCATTTGGGTTAGTTATGAATAAAAGTCTTAACTTACACTTATAAATAGGCGCTGGATATCACGATCCTAATCTTTATAATGATTATAAAGTTTTAGCATCGGATGTTTGTTATAAAGTAACACTATTAAACTATAAATTATAAATATTCTTTAGGGTATTAAATCGTTATTAAAAGAAAATATTGGAAATGATGTGATAAGTTATGTTTTAAAGTTATTAGAGGTTATTTATTTACTATTTATATAAGATGTGATTTATATCTAAAATGACTAATAAAATTTTGATTATTATATTTGTCCCTAAATATATAAAATAGAACTCTCACTTAAATAATGCTGGATATGGGTCAAATTTAAACATTAATGGGGAGGTTGAATGTGATGCATCAGTTATGGAAGGGAAATTTGGCTACTGGGGTAGTGTAGGAGCCTTGAAAAGTTTATTTACATATAAAATTATAATGATTATTTTATGAGGATTATGTAGAAATGAGAAAATTAAAATTAACTATTATCAATATATTTTTCAAAATAAATGAATATAGGGGTCAAAAATCCTATTGCAGTAGCAAATCAAATTTTAAAGCGCCAAATTGATTCAAGATTACATAAGAATACAAAATTACTTCAACCATGGTATATATAAATAATTATTTTAACTATTACATACAATTTCTAAAAAGTTAAATTTCCTTTGTATTTAAATTTCAGTATGTTAGCTGGTGATGAAGCTTACAAATGGGCTCAAAGCTGTTGTAAATCTATAAGCACTTCCAATGGTAAAGATTTGATTACAGGTTTTGCATGCTAAAATTATTAAAATTTTATCTTATTATTATTTTATTATTAATTAAAAGATAAAACTTATGAAGATTATGAAAAAGCTATGATGATGCATCAAGAAGAGATAAATCAATACTCAATAAATGGAATGAATACATCTCTTACTGAATATCAGAAAGATACAGACATTATTCCTCTAGATGAATTAACCAACCCAGTTTTATTATTTTTATAAATTTTAACATATAATAATGTGTTACCATTTCTATATTATAATGTAATATTAAAGTTTTACAAAACATTTCAAAAATCTATCAATGACAAAGACTATCTCCCACTCTCAGAACCAGACCAAGAAGAAAGTATGCTAACCCATATTATATCGATTGTAATTTTGTTAAATTTTTTATAGTTGGATCCACCTTATTCGTGTTAATTAATTAATCTGTTATTCATTATAGGCTAATACTTAAAATCTCCTTCTTTATTTTCTCCAATTCCATGATAATTATCGATTTAAAAAAAAAATTAATTACAAAGTTTGGAAAATAAAAATCAATTTTAATTTAAATCATGAATTAATTTAAATCATGAATTAATTCAAATGATGTTAAGAAAACTTCAAATAACTAAATCAATAAACCTCGATAAGAACCAATTTTTGAAATTGTTTGGTGGGCCCATCTGAACTACAATTGATACCACTTTTTTAAAATATTTATTCCTCACAATTTTAAATCAATTCTCTATCTATTATAAACCCAAGGTCCCTGGAAACCTTTGTTGTGACTTCTGAGCCCTATACATGAGGTAGCTAAGGGTTCCTGTGGTGTGAGGGCTTTATTTATTGGATGAGGAAGGGTACATTATTTTTCTATAACCAGTTTATGAATCCTAGTAGGGAATAATATTTATATTTTATAGAGACTAGCATTGTATTATTAGTATGGTTCATATTTGATATAAGAAAGAAAAAAAATAGTAGTTTATAACTGTACATGCTTAAACGCGTTTAAACAATAAATATACACCGCCATCGACTCATAAGAGGAGTCATTCCTATTGGCGACTTTGACTCTGGGCAGTCAGGTTCGGGGTTTAACCGCTTCACAAACCAAATTTTTTTTTATGTAACAGGGTAATTTTGGCCGACAAAATAACTAGATTCTATTTGGGTTTTTAAACTTGTTCTGAATTCAACATTTTTTTTGGTTTATGGAGAGTGGTCTTAACCCAGAAACCCCTATATCTTCCCTATATCTTTCTATCTCCATTGACTTTTACTAAATTTATGAACTAATCATTTATCACGCAGGCTTGAATCTAGGTACAGTCGGAGCAATATGTTTGGACTCCCAAGGAAACTTTTACTCTGGCATATCAAGTGGAGGTCCCATCCTTAAACAACCTGGCAGAATCGGACACGTAATTCTATTTTTTTAATCCTCTATAAAAAATAAAATTGGTTTACCTTATTATATTGGAAGACAACGTTTTTGAGTTTGTTTTTGTTGTATCTATCTATTTGTAATCGACATTTATGATGGACGTTTTGTTAATATATTTTCTAGAGGATTTATTATTGATTTTAATTTTCTTTGTTTTTAACTTTTAAAAACATGTGATCTCTATTTTTACAAATTGATATTTACTTCAATAAAATATACTTTTACATTATGCAAAAACATTCAATATCTCATTTTTATTTTGTTACTTTTTTGCTAAATTTTGTTTCCCTCAGCTCTTTAAGAACTGTTTAGATTCTAATATGTCGAAATTTTATCCCTCCTTAACAACTGTAGATACACAATATTATTTCTGTTATCTTGCTATAATATCATAAATGTTAAAAGTCAATAAAATATACTTTTACATTATGCAAAAACATTCAATATCTCATTTTTATTTTTTTACTTTTTTGCTAAATTTTGCTTCCCTCGGCTCTTTAAGAACTGTTTAGATTCTAATATGTCTAAATTTTATCCCTCCTTAACAACTGTAGATACACAATATTATTTCTGTTATCTTGCTATAATATCATAAATGTTAAAAGTCAATAAAATATACTTTTACATTATGCAAAAACATTCAATATCTCATTTTTATTTTTTTACTTTTTTGCTAAATTTTGCTTCCCTCGGCTCTTTAAGAACTGTTTAGATTCTAATATGTCGAAATTTTATCCCTCCTTAACAACTGTAGATACACAATATTATTTCTGTTATCTTGCTATAATATCATAAAGTTAAATGTCAATTAATGTCAACTGTAAATGTCTTTATTTATATATTAAATTATAAAGTCGCCAGTTCACTAATCAAGAAAATATCTTAAAATAAAATAAATATTTTTTAAAGCTTTTTAATTTTTAAATAAATAACCATTTATATAATTTTAATTTATCGCATTATTTTCTTCGGTAATTATATTTTCGTATAAAAATTTAATTTACAAGTGACATATCTAATAACAACTTCTCAATCATATGTTCTAAGTCACATGATGATTTATATAAATGTCGGAAATTTATAGGATAGATATCCTTCCAACATGACTAGAATGCATTTCTGGAAATTAAAATTTAAAAAACAAAACGCGCTAATTAAATTATCTTAAGTTGGCAAATAGCACAATCATTTTGTTTTTTTTTAAAAAACGATAATATTAATTAACCTTTCTATGTTTAGGCCGCAATGTATGGGTGCGGTTGTTGGGCCGAGAATCGAAAGGATAACGCGAAGAATCGTACAAAAATTTACGACGGAATAGCTATCTCAACTTCCGGTATGATGATCCTTAATCCTACTTTGCAAAACAATTTTATTGCATTATCCACCCCCCCCCCCCCATTTCCTTGAACCTAAAGCAAAGAGTTATTTTGCGAATTAGAATTCAGAGACTATTTTGCTTAGCCACTTGCTAACTACCGTACATGGATATATTTATTTTCTTTCCTTTTATCGAGGCTAAAGAATATTTTTCCAATTTAATCTAATAGCGATTTCCAACGCGTTCGATCTCAGAGCATGAATTTCAAATTTGGCAAGATCCTGTTGTCGCGTCATTTCGATACTTTCTTATCGCCTCAATTAAAATATTTCTTTCGAATCGCGATACAATAAATCGTATACCGATTTGTAAAGTACTGTAGGCCCTTGTTTTACCTTTTTTTTCCCCCTTTGTTCTTTCTTTTAAAATATTTTTAAAAAAAATTTGAAATCGTATTTAATTAATTAATTTTTTTTTAAACAATTTAGGGTGCGGCGAACAGCTCATAAAATCGCTGATGGCTAAAACGTTGAGCCAAGATTTGCTGCGATCTCGCTTCGTCCACCAAGCTTTCACGGATACGTTGCAAACTTTTCTAGGTTTATAATGGACACTTTTTTTTATGGACATATGGGATCAAAGAGGGTTCTTTTTACCCTGGGTTCCCAAGAAAGAACCATAATTTTATTTTATTTAGAGGTCTCAAATTTGCATTTATTTTAGCTGAGGAAAATAGAATTTTCGGTTTTTTTTTAAATTTAGTTTCGAAAATTTGAAGAGCTTATTTAACCCGAATTATATTTCAGTATTCTAGAGTATTCCGAATAAGACATTTTAGACAATTTTAAATTTTTTTAATTTAAATTTAAAAACACACAAAACGTTTCGCGGTTAAAATGATCATTGCTGGAATATATTTCCCGCTCAAATTTTATACATAAATGATTTTAAAAAATGAGAGATTCGGAACTCTAAGGGATTCCATCATATACGGCACATCATCGGGTTGGAATTAGATTATTCCATCTCCACATTTTTGTGATTTTTAAAAGGAGAAGCTATTTTAGAAATTAAGTTTCTATTATCTTCGATACGATTTAACCTTATATTGGTTATAATTTAACTTACTTTGTGAATTTTTCGGATGTTTCATTTAAATAGAATAAATTCTCAGACCACGATATATAAATAATTTTATCCAGCTAGTTATAAAATGTATTTTGTCTGGCCCATGGTCAGGATATTTCAGTTTGGGGGTGGGCTTAGGGAGAGGGGAAAAAATAATTTGATTGAGGGTTAAAATTTTTGGCGCTAATTGGATGGGCTTATCCCATTTCCTATCTTTTAAAAATATTAATAACTACAAAAAATTATATTTTAAATATTTGATTTTTATGTTGATTTTAAACTTTCCGCCAGATGAAGCGAGCCTCGAACCCGAACCCTCCAAAAGTCTCTGCGGTGCGATCGCGTTGATTGGCTTGAAGAAGGACAATGATGATAGCGCCGAAGAGCCTGACACCAGCAGCCGATACGAATTTGTTTGGGGACACACGTGTCGTTCTATGTGTATAAGTTACGTTTCCGGTCTCGTCGGCGACACCAAAATCCCTAAACCTAAGGTAATTTATTCGCCATGACGTCAACGTCGAGAAAAATGTACCGCTAAAAATTATACATTTATATCCGAAATGTTGATATCGATTCTGGCTAGCCAATTAAAAACATAGAATAATGCTAATTCTTGGGTTGCGCAGGGTAACTTGTAAAAAAAATATTCCGGGCCGGACCGGAAAACCATGGCTGATGGATCAATCCGCTAAACTTCCGAATCCTAACGATTTCTTTGTTGTTGTTTGTTTGTACATTTTTGAAATATAATTTATATAAAAAAAATTTTCATATCATTTATTTACTTTTGTAAAATTAGGTGTGTTTTTCTAAACAAGCAGCCCAGAATTGTGGACGAAGAATATATTGCCAGGGTAAAATGATCAAATTTTCCTAATTGAAATCTAGCATCGCGTTATTGTTATATATATATATACTTTTCTTCTCTTCTATTCTCTTCATATATATATATATATATATATACTCTACTAATGTAATGTTTCGTATAAACTTATGTTATACTACTACCTCGCTCCGTATTTTTAAGGAAATCGTTTTATATAATTTAATTAATTACAATGTCGCGTTTAAAATTATAATTCTTTATTTTTTAATCTCACTCTGTAAAACCGGAAGTGGAACTACAAGTTCCCCCCCCCCAAAAAAAAAACATGAATAAATTATATTTTTAAAAATGGTGTTGTGTATTTATATTTCGTTTTTAAAAAAAAATAAAAATTATTTGGGTTCTGATGTAAGGGCTCTTATTTTGGCGCCTAATATTTTTTTAAAAAATTTTAAAGTTCCGCGTGACATGACATATGCCAACGGGAAAAGATAACGATTGGTTAAGAAAAGAATAAAAATCTGAAAAAAAAACTGTCGTGTTTCGTCAGCTGTTCCCCTTCATTATTTTTTCTAAAATCCTGTCAGCGTTCTCGCAGAATATTAAAGTTTTTTATTTTTATAAATAAGATACCCTTGGGATTTATTTTGTTTTAGGTTTAATTTGAGAAAGTATCGTCTTTATCGAGACGATGATCCGTTACCCTCTTACCGCCTACGCGAGAATTCTAGCGGTGACTGTAAACCCAAGTAAGTCGACACGAGCACCTTTCGACAACTCCGAAAAACTAGGCTCTCTTGAGAATGGGCAAAGCAAAATTTTTAGGAATTATTGGCCGCGGTTTTTTTATTATTTTACTTTGAAACCCAAGGACAAGATTATTTTTTGATTTTTTTTTAAAAAAAATTATATAAGTAAATGGTACGTTTTGTAGATTATTTCAAAGGGAAAATTGAAGATTTTAACCCTAACCCATGTGATTAATTAATATAATTCAAAATTTAACCGAGGCTTAAACAATGAGGGTTTAACATATGATGTTGACCCTCTTAGGATATTCGTTGAAGAGTGTTAGTGGGATAAATACTGACCCGAATTTTAAATTGCCATATCTCGGCCATTATTTATGATCTAATAAAACATTAATCCATCTAAAACGACAATTATTTCAAAATTTCCATTAATATAAAAGTAAATTTTAACGAGCCATTTATTATTAAAAGTTAGTCAAAAATATATATTTTCGAAAATCGATTGAAAATTATTTTTTAAAAAATAACAAATTCTTCATTTTTTTGACATTAATAACAAATTGAAGGATTTCTTAGCTTCAGAAATCCTAAGTTATATTGCAAAATTTTTAGCATTTTTTTAAAACAAAAATTCTCAGCTGATCAAAATTGATTTTCTTGATATCTCAAAAAAAGGGCAGAAACCCGACTAAATTTGTTTAACCAAAATTGTCGAGTTATTGCAGAAATCCAGAATTGTTCTTAGAGGATTTGAAGTCCTTCTCAAGGGGTACTTATGAACCCAACATATGTTCTCGAAGAATTGATGAATAGTTCTAAAAGAATATATAGCTTAGAGGTCTGGATTGGGCGATTTTTAGCCCGCCCGTTCACTCCCGCCTCTGGAAAGCGTGGTCAGATTTTTTAAAATATACCTAACATTAGGAGGGGGGCTAGCGGGTTAAATTATGAAATTAAAAATGAGTTAAAACAACTAGTGGGCTGGCTTTTTAGCTAAACACTCGCCCATTGCAGACCTCTGGTATAGCTACTTCACTTCATTAGCGATAACGCCTATAAATTTCCGAACAAATTATGTAGCTATTACTTTTATATCTTCGATAAATTAAATGCACGCATCTTATTTTAGTAATTTATTGTGAGAAGAGTCGAGGAGGGTAAGTAGCAAATGATGGACATTTATTTAAATGTCCCTTAGTTTTAAAAATGGAAGTTCCCGATATGAACAAACGAGACGAGAAAATACAGATAGAAATTGACACTGTAATTCTACCTACCTGGAAAGGGTTTAACTCTGTTAGGTTATTTTTTACTTTGTAACTTTCGATAAACTATTTCGGAATTATGAATCGCGTACCGACAAAAAGGGTGATACAGGTACCGCGATTGGCGGATTCGAACGCATTTTCAAACGTCTTGGAAACAGGAAATCAGCTGGTTGACACGCCTTTTTTTTGGATTTCCAATTTTTTATTTCTTAAAAATATATTTTTAACTCGGGAAACGGGTTTAACGAATAATAATTAAGCATTATAATTGGATAAATTGACCTGTCTGCTAAATTTAATTATCATAAAATTCCATAATAAGTATGACATCCTTTCTTTTTTTTTAAATAATCTTAAATAAGGTTAGAGATTCTCGTATATGATACATTCCGCGACCAGCAAAAGAGTTCAACAGGGGTTTTTAATTCTAACCATAAGTTGGATAATTTAAAGAATATTCGTCTTGGAGATAGGCTTCGCCATTATTTCCCGCGTTAAAACATTGGACACCTCTTGGTGTTACATTGCACGTGAACGGAATTATACAAAAGCCCCAAGCATAGATGACCATTCACGGGGTCTCATTCAGTGAAGTTATAACGCTAAGATAGTTGTACCTTATTATGTTTTATAGTCAGCCTTTGACGCGGGTAGTAGTCCTCGTTTAGGATTCTCGTATCTAGTAGAGGTCCGGTGCCCCAACTCTTTAAAAAAAAATGGCTAAGGCGTGAAAACCAAACCGATGTTAAAGACGTGGCGATTATTAGTAAGGTAGTGACGGTGAATATCTAGCCTATTTATTTGCCTCGGTACCAATAAATGCGTCCCTATATGTATCTGTAGGAGCAAAAGCAGAAGTTCTAGATTTAGAATTCTGAGAGTTATTTAATTTTATAATCGATATTTTACAAAGTTATTAAGAATAACATATAATAAACTATGTATAATAAAACATGTTTAGAAATGAAATTTTTAAAAAAACATTCTAAATTGCAAAGAAAATAGTCGCCCGCCCTCCTTATTGTGACGGTCACGAATTTTTAAATTTGGTAAACGCAAATTTCGAAGCGGATTTTTTTTTATTCGATCAAAAGGGTTTTCGTGATTGTTGTTTTATAGCTCTTTTGGGTTATCAGTTTGATTAGGGATTTATCCTCTTTCCCCAAATAAGCAGTTTGGTTGATACCGCGCAATGTGGTGTTTGCGAAGGTCCTGTTCCATCCCATTCGGTCATTTTTTTACTAAAATGAGACCGCACCGATGGACTGTTGAGTCAAGTGACACCATACCGATGGACCATCGGTCTAGTTCCTAACCGTGTTGTCGGACCCAAGAGTCAGAGGAGACTAGAAATGGGCCGGGCCACTGCAACACTACCTCAATAATTATATTGTTTGTTCGGCTAGACTCGAGTATTTTTTTTTAGGATTTCCATTTTTTTCCAGTATACCTAATGGATCGCAATTATTATTCGATGATACATGTGTCACACCCTCTATTCCAGGCGTATGCCCATCAAGCCGCGGGTTATCAATAACGGAATCTCTTGGTTCGAGATGTGAATAGAACATCTGTTTTGAATAATGGATTATTTTAATTAATTCTTGGTGTGAACCTACTATTAATTCGGAATTTAAAATATCGCTTTCGTTTTTCTAAGTTTCGAAGGAGTGGGGTTTTATTGACGTATTAAAAGGAAGATTGACACATATCTTCCTGGGTATTCCCTAAAATTTCCCAACTCCTCGTTTTCACTGCCAACGGAGACAATTAAAATAAGAAGCAGAGTTGTTAAAAGATACTTTTTAAATGGATCTAGATACAGATACATCGTCTAAAGTAATATCTAGATACAGATATTTTAATCAAAAATCTATCTAGATACAGATACCACATTTTTATATCTAGATACAGGATCTAGTTAAAAACTCTGATAAGAAGCATAAATATCGAGGTTATATTTAATATAATCAAAATATATATTTTTTTAAATATTAATATGTTTATCACCATAATTAACCACCCTATTTGTTATATAACTTTTATTATTTGAATGCCACAACATATTTGGCGGGAGAGAGTGGGGGGTAGGGTTTATATGTATAAAAGTATCGAACCGGCTAAATGTAAAAAAATAATTGTCACAATATAAAGATAATAATAAAAAATGGCTAGTGAGTTTTTTTTATTGATATAAAGTATCGGCATCTCGTTACTTTTTCAGCTGTTTTTTTTAAAAAATATTTTTATTAGATACATTTAATAAGATAATTTTTGTTAGAATTTATTTTACGTGTTGTTTTTGTAAAAAAAATTATTTATATCTGTCTAAGTTTATTTTCTATCCAATTCAAATGAAAGTTTTATTTTAAAGTATCTAGTTACTTAGCATGTTGTATCTGTAACTTTTCGTAGATACATTAAATAGATATTTTGACACAATATTATTTTAAGCTTTCATGTTTATATTAAATTTATTAAAGAATCTGTCATTAAGTTATTGTTTTTCCAATTCAGAACATGTTTTATTTTAATGGATGACGAAAATATGGTAAATGATGTAAGTATCATAAATGTTTAGATGATTTATATTAGTGATACTGATAAAGACGAAACAATCTAATAAATTTTGACACTCATCAAATTTTGACTTAGAAAAATATATTTTTTTTTAAAGTATCTGATATTTTTAAAAAGTATCTTTTTAACCCCGTAACCTAGTATCCCCAAATTCTTAACTTGATTGGACTTGGGGCAATAGATGCTAGAGGGATTTAAAAGAAGAAAAAATAAGGAATTGAATGCAGTGAATAGTTAATTGAGATTACAAAGTTTCCAAGTAACACTAAAGAAGAAATCGAAAGAATTTAAATATAATTTCAAACGCCTCAAAGAGGATATGGATAAAGTTAAAAACTTTGAGAAGGGTTTTATTAATTTTAAAAGCTTAACAAAATAATTTGACAGTTATTCGTTTTATCATGATATATAAAAAGAAATATTTTTTTTACACATTACATCAGAATAAACAAATGAAGGATGGAACCGTAC